TGTACGTGTGCTATTTCTGACTGAAAATGCCTTCCCACCGAGTCAAATATTGAAATATACTATTTTTTGTCACGCCTCCGTAATTGCTTCTATTGATATTCATAATATATTACTTTTGCCATTCTCAATACTTTAATCGTTATTGTGATTTTTAACGCGTCTATTAGTTAAAACAATTATTAAAATAACTTATTCGTTTGAATAAAACTGGCAAAAGTCCAATTTTTAAAAACATATTATGATACACTAAAATTAAATATAACATGTTAATAAACAAAATAAAGTAAATTAGTTATACAATTTAAATATGCTTAGCATATGAAAAAGATTATTAGAGCTTTGAGTGACGCTTATTTATCATATTTAAATACTAATATTGTCTTTAGAGAAGAAATCAACATCAGAATAACTATTGCTCTAGATAGGGATGAGTTTTTTTGAATTTAAAAATATGATATGGAATGTAGAAAAGCAAGAGAAATCTATGATTATGTAAACAGACTTGAGACTAATTATAATCTAACGATAGAAGCGTTGAAATAGCTATCGATAAGACCATAAAAAAGGCATTTTCCAGCATTAAATATTAAACTTTCCTTTGTAAGATTTCCCTTTAATATATATGTAGTAAAATAAAAATGTTTGATCAAAATTAGAAATTAAACATGATGTGATTATTGCGATGAGAAATTAAATTATGCTGTGAACATATAAGTATTAATAAATGTATACTATTAAAATCACATGACACGTTTATACTACATACTTCGCTAAAATTATAGTATAGCTATATGTTATTAATGTTATTATAAAACAAAATGTTTAGTTTACTATTATAATATATATTGTATTTATTAAAACTTGATTCAATAAAGGTTAAATATCTATGTGATATATACACTTCTAACTTTTGTACACACTATGCGTAAATACGACAACAATAAACGTCTATATAATATTAGTTTTAAGTAACTTATACATATATATGTTCTACAATACTCCTGTATACATAAATCTATAAGTGTATAAAACATAATTTGTATTAAACGAAACTATTGTGTTAAATATAATACACAAATCGATAATAATTTTCATTATATTGTCTGTTCACTAAAAATGTTTAATTTAGGTGAGCATTTTTCACAAAAAAAATTTTTTTTTTTATTCTCACTTGTCCAAAAAATACGTGTTTCACTACAAACATACCTACTATAAAACTTGGATGCCGAAATGCTTTATCATTTATAAATAAACGTATGTATCACGTTTTTTTCTTATAATATAAATAAATACAATATGTACGACATATACATTGATGATTTCATATTCAGTCGTGCAGGACGTTAAATTATTCTGTCTCGAGTAGAACTTTCCCGCCACTTTTATCCGTCGGGAAAACGCATGTTAAAGTTTCGACAAGATACGGTGGCAAAGAAAAAAAACTACCTTGTAATAATGTCATTACATTTTTATTGAACACACAATTTTTATGTGCATATAATATAATATTTTATTATGTCGTCCACGTACTGTGCGTAGGTATATATACCAAAAATATACGCAAACTACAAACCACTGCAGTATAGTAGAGTTGCACCGTTATTACGATATATATAAATATATATATATATATATTATATATTTATATATCCATTATTTTACAAATTCAAGTTAGCCCCCTCTGTAGCAGGTATTTTGTGTTTACTTGAATACAACTCCACTGAGATTACTAAGTTTTTTTTTTATTTTTATTTATTCTGAGTGGAGTTCAAAATATGGTTTTATAATATTTTTTCATATTGTTTTTTTTTCCATTTATTCTTATTGGAACAGAATAATACTAATAATAAAACTGCAACTGTTTTAAAAAAATAACTTCACAGTTCAATAACTGACCATAAAAACCATTCGGGTTGTTTTTCATGCATTTAAGTGCGTACCTTATATCCTCTTAAAAAAAAAAAAAAAAACAGTAAAATATTATTATCACTGCAATAAGTCTTTCGTGTTTCTTTTTTTAGCCAACTTTTAACCTATTTTTAGATATGGTAGTTAAGGACACTCACCCTTTAAATTAATATTTTACCAAAGACTGTAAAAAAAGCTATGTTTATAAAAAAATCTAGCTCGTATGATTTAAGGATAGTACCTATCATATACCATAAAAAATCATAGGATTAATATTTTTTTATAAAATAGTATCAGTAAAAGCGGTCAACATAAAATGTATACGCATTTTCAGTATTGATTGAAATATTATGCATAGCATTTTACATTTATGTATATAGGTACATTAGTAAATACATTTATATATAGATAAGCATGATAATAATATAGTCGTTCTGAAACGCGAAGTATTTGAATTTAATATTAAAATTTATCGCAGAAAATATGTAATTACCGTTTTGAAAACTTTATCGATATACAATATCATGATTATCAGAACTTTTAATGAAATAATAATACCAGTGAAAACTCTGGATTTGAAATGAATTATAGCTAAACTATATTATGTTTGTTATATTTTACCTTAAAATACAAGTATTTAAATGGCAAATAAAACTCTTTTAAGCCTTCGGACACGGAACGATATACGCTTACTTTTTTCGAACAGAAAATATATAACTATTTTCACGATATTTAATAATATGACAATATGCATATTTAACACAACTCAATAAAAAGTCCACAAAATAAATAAAAATATTTTTTTAGAGAGATAAATTATTTATTATCAAGAACCCAGATATGTTGATAGAACAGCAATAATGATTACTAACTCAAATTATAGTGAATGTATGTGTGTGTATATTTATATATATTAAATCGTGTATCAATTTAACAGTAATTAAGTAATAAAAGTATTTTGTACATAATGTACATTGGCTGGTTGTTATATCAAAAAACATTAATTTTCTGATTTTTCCACAAATATGCATTTTTTTATTTCAATTATTTTTTTTATTTCATATTTTCAAGCAGAAATATTTTTTTAGAAAATTTCTATTTATGTAATTTTAACATTGAAATCAGTATAGAATTAATAATAAATATATTATAAACCATTTGTGTAGTATATAATATTACAAAAACAGAATATTTCTTGTCAATTGTTAGACATAAAATTATATAAATTACCGTTCCAATAAAAACAACCAAGTTATATTATAATATTATATTATAACCGTAAATTATAATAATATTATAATTTTATATTAAGTATACATATTTATGCGAAGTTAACTTAAATAGAAATTAATAGGGGTAATAATAGAAAGTATAATATATATATATGTTTATGCCTTATTATGTATTCTATAAAAAAAAAAAAGGTACCCATGAATAATATAATGCACATGAGCATTAAGTAGCGTGTACTATTTTATTTTTAATAATAATAATATAAATCAAAGCGTATTATTATTGTACAAATGTGAATATATTTTATAAACGTATTTATTATAATATAGACGTTTTGACAAAAGCGCAAATACATATTATATAAAAATATTTTTTCAATGCAGATGGGCTTGTAGTTGTTGAGAAAATGAAAAGCTCTATTTTTTATAAGTAGCGAAATACAAAAATAAAAATTTGTCCGTGCGTGCGTGCGTGCAGGCGTTTATGGGTGTGTGTGCATGTGTGTGTGTGTGTGTGTGTGTATGTGTGTGTGTGTGTATGCGCGCGTACGTCTGTGTGTGTGTGCAAAGATGCGTGTTTAGTACAGAACATGTGTATAAAAGACATACAATAATATAACACATAACATATTAAAGAGTACCTACTGAGTAATAAATTTAATTTAGCTTACACTGTACGGGTTTTTTCTAAATAATTATCTTTAAAATAACATAATTATATAATTAAAAAAAATTATGATAAAAAAAACTTTATAATATTATTCATTTATATAAATACTAAGAGCTGTAATTTTATGTAAATTTATTATTATTATTATTATGTCTTATTAAACTTTAAACATCATTTGTAATTATTATAAAAACTATTTACAGATTATACAAATAATTTTTATTTTTTTATTTATTTAATCAGTTTACAATCCATACGGACAATTGTCAAAAAAGTAAATTAGATCATTAATATCGGTAGATAAATTACAGTAAATTAGCACTTAGTAATTAGCATTGCCTGGTATGAATTTTAATTAAAAAAAAAATTAAATTAAATCGTTATGTCTTTAACGCTATTAAGTTTTGCGATGTTTTTTTCAAAGTTTTAGAATTTTAAGCAATTTGTCAAATTAATGTATGTATTTTGTTAGCTTTTTTTAGTAGAAATTTCATAGTTTTTAAAATACTTGTACTTATTGCATTTTTACAATTATATACCTCCATATTCTTTATGTTTAGAACATTTTTTTTTTTTTTTTATATTTATAAATTATTCATGTACTTTTATTTAAAATAGTTTAAAATGTCGGTAATTTTATTATTAAGTATAAATACCTGTAATTATATTTTTGTCGTTAACCGAATTTTTCTTGAAAGCTAATTGTGGAGTTAATAGGTATACACGTATTGAGTATAATTATTAATTAATAACCTAATACAGTAATACCTAACGCAATGTAAGTTTTCATATCTGCAGCTGTACAGTAACATTTTGAAAACACGACTCAGTATGTTTTTACCCAAAATATTATAATGTTATACTATGGAACGCCCTCGACCATAGGCGTAAGTGCAGTTTGCAGCAGCGTTAAGACCAAAATGCACTATGATATTATATGAAAACGATCGATTTACGAGTACGTTTCGCGTGCAGTGAAGTGCGTACAAATCAAAGACATAAATGTATGTGGCTTGCGAGCGATGGTGATGGCGAGAGCGAGCACATAAGATAATGTAGTATAGTAGGTATGTAAAATGTATTAAGTATGCGAGCGATAGAAGTAGAGAGAGAGCGAGGCGAGCTAGTGGCGTGTCCGCCGCCGAAGCCGGACGCGTCCGTGGCCGCTTGATGATGCTGCTGCAGCTTACCTCTGAATGCGTTTCCGACGCGGTTTCCGGTCCGAACAAAGGCCAGTGCCGCCGCGGCCACTCATCTATATCTATACACTGAGCGCGTCGCCGTGCCGCGTCCTCGCGCGCACGGCGTAACGATATATTATAACGTCGTCTGCACTGTGGACGCGGCCACCGCCGCGGCACCGCCACAGCCCACGCCGTACACGGCTGCAGCCGAGGAGACGGCCACAGTCGCAGTGGCCGCAACCGCCTCCGCCGCCGATGATGCACCAGCCGACCGCAGTCCGGACGACAGTCTTCCTCGGTGGCGCCTCATCGCCCGCTGCAGTCCCATCGGTCGGTGACGACAGAACCGGAACGGCCGCACGCGGTGACAATAATAATTATTATAATGTTATTAATATGCTATTATCGTCGGTTGTTACGATATCCGATTCCGTATGAACTTCATTACATCCGGTCTCTTCCGTACGTGTTGTGATACCGCAGTGTCGTATTTTAATATTATGTTTTCACTTTTACACTAATTATTATTAATATTACAATGTCATGAAAATAACATATTATCACATTATTAATATTGTTCACTGCCGTTTTTAATGCTATCTATCCATTACAATGTGCACCTACACACTGAAACGTTCGTATTGTACTAAACGCAAATAATTACATTATTACAATAATAAGAATGATAATAATTATTGTTATTGTTATTATTATTATTTTTATTATTAGGTACTGTTTACTATATAATAACACCGCGTGTGTACGTCGTCACGGTTGTATTTCGTTTACCGCACCACCACCGGCATTGCGGACGGTTGTAACGGTCGCGCGCACCGGGACGACGACGACGACGACGGCGGCGGTACACCGTCACCCGTTCGCCAAGTGCCGCCCCGCCCGACACAATCGCCGAGGCGGCCGATGATCGATTGGCGAGCGCAAGCGCCGCGCCCTCTGCTGCTCCGGGTCTGGACCACCGCCGATGGTGCGGCTGTGAACAGAGAGCGTCGTCGCACGACTTCCGCAGATTTGACAGAGCTCGAGATCGGGCTGATCTCGGGTCTCCTTCCTGAACAGTGACGGTTAGATGTCCGACAATCATATAATGATGCGAGGGGTTAGGTCAGGACGGTAGCTACTAGCCAGTGCCGGGTTCAACTCTCGGATCGCAACTACTGATATCGGAAGCTCCTCAAAGAATAATAGTTGCCGTCTTATAGTAATTGTATTCGATTGTGCGCTTGTTATGACCCCGGTGCAGTACACAACCTTCACCACCGTTGGATACGGCAATGATGGAGGTAAATGTCTGCACGAGTCCACTGATTTTGTATCACACGGCGTTTTTAAACTTCACAGATCAAAGAAAACTTTTGTATTATTAGTAAAAATCTTAATGCTATACATCGTTTTCGTGAAATTATATTTTTCTACAAAGTTTTCGATTTCAAAATCAGTGGTCGAGGGTCCGAGAAACTAAGTAATTTAAATATTAGAGAGAATGAGGTGAGGAGACTGTTATACAGTTATATAAAATGATTACCTATTATATTTTAGAAATATTTTTTAATCTTTAATTTTAATTTTTTATATAAGAAATGCGTAATGTCGATATTAAATTATTTTATACTCCTGTTGAACAATTTCTAATAGTTATACTTATACATAATTTATCTATTACATGTCCAATACTACTATATTTTAAAAATTGTTATGGTTAAATTTTTAAGTTCTAATAAGATTAAACTTTGAGTTGAAATTAGGATTCTAGTTTATAAAAACTTTAGTTTAACTCATTCATACTATTATTCAAAAATCATAAAATGATAACATTTTAGACATCGCTAGAAGGTATGAAATAGTTATTAATTACAAATAGACTTTTATTAGAAAGACATATTTATAGCGATATTGTAAAAAAATAGATTTAATTTGTAAACAGATATTCAAATATATTAGCTTAAAATAATTTCAAATATTTTTGTCAATTGTATAGTAGCTTATATAAATGTCTTGTCATTATGATTATAATCATTTATTTTTATATATTTTTTTTCTTAGAATTTAAATAATTTTTTATTAATTTATTAAATTCAGTGAAGCGTTGATTATTAACACTAACTTAAATCGAGAGAGGTGTGGATAATTAAACTATGTTTATTTATTTACAGTAAACATGAATTTAAATGTTTTTATAATTAAAAATTAAACTAATGTACTGTATGTACAACGTAGAAGTATAATATAATTAAATAAATAAATATACATGACGTATATATTCTTGAAAGTATGAAATACAATTAATTTAAATTTTACATTTAAAATACAAAATAATATACCATTTTTTTTTTTTTTCTATAACGAATTTGTTGTGTGGATAATAATTAACGTATGGATAATCGACGCTTCACTGTACAATAAATACACACGTAACGTATACAACATTAAAAACATGTACGTGATATCCAACGATAACAATATTGTAAAGTTTTCAATTCGTGTGACAATGTATTGTGTACTTATTGGGTTTATTTCGACAAAAATAATCAACATTGGTGTTTCGAGTTTATTTTCGGGTTCTACTCGTATGTCAAATTACATGGAATTACAACGGTTTTATTTCTGAGTTGATAAAATAATAATACGGATAATCCAGACAAAAACGATAACGCACTTAAGTAAAAATACTCGGATTTAAAATACAAATACTTACGTATAGATTATAGAATAGTATTTCAAGTACTGTAATTTAATAAATCTGACATGTAAAATACAACAATATAATACCTATTTAAATATTTTACAAGATCGCCATCATATTATAAAGATTACTATCTTTGTATTATAAATCAGACGTGACGACTATTATATATATATATATATATTTCGGTTGTTTATTCGGTGCGTGTACCGTCGTACAAAGAGACGGTTTCGAGTAAAATCATATATTTCAATATTGATATACTTGTGGCGCGTGCCCGAGGCTTGTTTCGCATGGGACTTATGCAAACGTCGTTTATGTAGTGCGCCCGGCCGGAAGGAAGATAAGTTCGAAGGCTAAAGGGTTTCCCGTCTAACCGGAGATTCGGCTGTGTAAATATTACTGCGTCGCGAAATATAAATGTACATAAAATAATAACAGTAATGAACTTATAAGTAATAACCTTATACACTACAGTCATTATTTGGTACGATGACGTCGCACTTTTATGTTCTGACATTTTGGTACCAACTATACCAACCCGTTTGTTTTTTATTCTGTTTCGGTGAAACGGTCCTTTACAAATACATAAATTATAATATTTCTGACAATAAACTATATGTAATGAATACTATGCATATATATATATATATAAAGGTATAATATTTTATTATATGCGTTTAGGCTGTTTATAAGTAGGTACCTACAATTAATAATAATATTTTACATTACTATTATATTATGGTAGGTACGCGAGACAACGCGTAACGAATGACCTTCAATAAATAACTTCGGACAGAGATTTATCGAGGGACCCAGATGCCAGGATACAAAATCGTTGCAAAATAACTTTTTTTTTTATCGCGTCATACATATTATAATAATTATGAATCTGAGGGGTTAACTAAAGTAAACAATAAGGTTTTCGTAACCACGCATTTAAAAGGTGCTCGATCTAATGTATAATATTCCGGAACATCGACTACAGAGGTAGTGTAAACTTAAAAATGTATATTTATATACTTTTTCACAGCTCATAAAGTCACACTCATCATCATAATTATTTGTTATTTCGTCTGTTATCGAAAATCTTAACCACAGTTTGACAAACAAAACTTAAAATGAGAAACTAATCTTTATTCATTATTAGTATGTTTATATAGATTACTGCATATATCTTAAAAAAATCACAAAATCTGAAAATATTTCTTTTTTTTGCGACTGAAATACATACTCGTATTAATAAAGATTAAAAAAAAAAATAGTTAAGTTCTGAATGATAAATTTCTCGAGTGATTAAAATATATTGAAAAAACTACTAAGTCTTCAGAAAAAAAATGTATATACTTTTATATTAAATAGGTAGGTACGTCAACGACGAATAACATGACTTTTAAGAATTTTCTCTAGGATATATTTGATTCAGTAGGTACACAATTATATAATTTATAGAATATGAAAGCTTTTTTTTAAATAAGTATAATTTATAAAAAAAAAAAAACTTCTGTATAGATTCCATCTTTTATTAAACACAAATATAATACAAATGTATAATACGCAACAATGTACAATTGTAACGATCTATAGCTATAATATTTTAATTTAAAATTTTGAATACGTACCTATAACTTATAAGTCAATGATGCTTACAGCAAATAAGCGAATCAAACAAAAGTTTTATTTTTTATTTTTTTTGTACTGTACTAAGAATCAATAAATAAATTGTACGATATTACATGGTGAATTCTTTTGTTTATGATAAAACAATTAGTTTATAGTAGAACTCAAAAATTAATTTGCTAAAACACTGCAAAAATGAGATAATAAAGTCAGAACTCTACAAAATACCATGATGGCGGCAAACTGGCAAAGCATAGGTCAAAAGTTTACTCACATTGTTTTACCGGGTTAAAGTGTGAATTATTCAAAGGTTTGTTTAAGTTTGCATGATAAAAAAAAAATAAAAATAAAAAATAAATAGAAATCAGTATATAGTAAACAATAGAATAGTCAATAGAGAAACTTAATAGGCAACGACCACTGATGGCGAAGTCGAAATATCCTCCAATATATTCCTTACATTTAAATCATGTTCTGAAATATCTCTTATTAATTTAAATTAATTAAAAAAACCATTTATTTTAATAATAAATTGCTATTATTAAACTAAGTAAAATTTTCATATTAAAAAGATATATTATCACATATTATTAAACATTCTAAGCTGTATTATTTTTACACAAAAAAAATAAAAATAAAAACTAGGAACCTAGATTTATAAATAAGTGTATAGCCAATATCCATGTGTAAGTAAAATAACAAATATAAATGATAGCAAAATTAGTTTTAATTGATAAATTATAAGTAAAAAAAATCTTCAAAATTAATTGAAAATTAATTGTACTTTTACGTAATATTTTGTTTAAAAAAAAATATTATATTTTTGTTTTTTTTTTTTTTTTAAATAAGTTTTTATGGATTGGCTCAGAAATATGACACTTAAAAAAGGTCAAATCTTGAAAAGACTGTAATCAACTGTTTAACCACAAAAAAATACTGTCAATCTACTAGATGAGTGTTAAATGAGAAATTATATAACATTTTAGTAATACATTTATCAATGTACACAATAAACTTCTAACGTTGACACAATATTTATTGCAGAAAAATTAACAATTAAAAAAAAAAAGTATTACAATATATGTATATATATATTTATAATAATAATGAGCTATGAGCCTGATAATAAAATACTTTATTAGTAAAACTCAAATTATAAACTAATAATGATAATAGTATTATATTTTAGTCATCCATAAATTTAAAATAATATTGCTACATTAATACATTTTATAAGGTTTATATTCTTATCAATATTTTCCGTGAAAATAATTTAATTATTATTAAATTATAAATATATAATATATTGTGTTTATACATTTTGATTACTACGAGCAATACAATTTTCTTGTTATATGTTTTTATTGTTGAACTATCATAGTTTCATACGTATAAGTAGCAAATAAAATAAAAAAAT